TGCTGGTCAAGGTCTTCGGTCAAGAGTACTTGGACGGATTCATGCTAATGGTTCAATAAGGCGACCGGGGGCCAGAACGGTAGGTCACTATTACAGTTCACCCACCCACCCCAATTCTGGGAACATTAACAAGCAAAACACTCACGCATGCGCGGCCCACGTGCCCCTCAGGCGGGATGAGAGAAGCAAAGGGAACTGTCCAGGGATAGTTGCCCAAACAAGTTCCGGCCCCGCCTCTATGTTAATGACATGCAGATATATGCAAATTTCCACACGCTACTGCTCAAACCTTCGAGAGAAATGGGAAGACACAGGAGCGGTTGCTATGGAAACCCAAATGCGACCCCCCCTCCCCCTCTACCGCTCCAGCAAGCGCATAGACACGTGCACAAAGACCCAGGGTTCCTCACTCCAGAGCCCAGAGGATCACAGAGTCTCGGAGGGTGTGAACGGAGAGGACCCTCGGAAACTGCGTTCAGCCCGGGGGAAGCTTGAGGCCCGGGGCAGCTTCGGGGGGCGCCTTCCACTGAAGCCGAGGGGAGCTAGGTGACTTCTCCGGTCCCTGGGGACTCCTACTCAGGCCTAGCAACGTGAGCCCCGCCCAGCGTTGCTTAGCAACGTCCCTCGAGCCCAGCAACCGCCGGTCACGCCCCCTAGCAACAGCTCGCCTAATCCTTGCTCCTGGTCTCCTCTGCCGCAAGAAAGGAGAGGAAAGAGGCTTGTGGACTAGGGCCAAAACGTGGGTGGAGGTCGTACTGTCCAGCCCCCAGCCTCAAGCACGCTGCAGGATTTCGCAGTCCACCTCTAGCCGTCTTTGCGGGGCGAGGTGCTAGAAGGCCGAGTCATCACCCCCATTTGCAAGGTGGGGGGGGTGGACTGAAGCTCCGAAAGGAAGTCCCGGCCGAGAGTACAGAGCTTGTTCTTCCCTGAGCGCCCTGAGAAGGCAGCAAACGCTCTCCTGTCTCCCTAGGAGGAAGCCCGGGCCTGGGGAGAAGGGGTGCGCAGCCGTCTTCCACTTGACCTGCCCCAACTGCGTTAGGAAAATGACCCAAGTTGCCGACTCAGATCAAGCTGCAGGTTGCATAGTAATTTGCGTCATTTACATACAGCACCGAGGCTGTGGCGCTCACCAGCCCGTCGGAGGCGGTCAAGTTACCGAAGGAGGCCCGCCCCCTCCCCTGCTTCACTCGTCCAGTCCCCTCAGTCCCCTCTCCGTGTCCCCCTTCTGCCCCCGCACCACACCCCCGGCCCCGCTTCCGGTCCCTCCGGCTACAATTCCGTACCTCTCCCCGCCCCCAGCTCGTCCTCCGGTCGGCTAGCCCCGACCTCCATCCCTAGGCCGAGGGCCCCCTCTGCTGTCGGCCGCGGGTAGGGCAGCAGCAGAGCTCATGGGGCAGAGAAGAGGGGCTCCCCTAAACAACCAAGTCCCCATCCTTCCCAGTACAGCACGGTCCAGAGCGAGGCTAGTGCATGGGTAGACTTCCAGAGGGATGGACGGGGTACCCCCTTTAGGACCGGGGAGGGGGGTGAGGAGTGAGGGGTGCTGCCAGAAGTTCTTTCCTCTAATCCAGGCCCTGCCTCTTCCCACTGGGTTAGGCAGCCAGGGGGCAGCTAGTTTCCAGGTGGGTCCTCGGACTCCGTTCTCCCAAGGTCCACCCCACACTGAAATATTTTACAATTGTAGCTGCTGTTAGGAGTTCACTCCTGGCCCCAGGCAAAGCAGCACCATCCAGCCCTAACACCAGCGTCCAACCCTACCCTGAATGCCCACTCCCTCCCAGGCCAAGACCCTTGGCTTTCTCCTGTACCAGTCTCGGGGAGCTCACAAGAGGTGCAGAGAAGAGTCATCCTATATGGCTCTCCCAACTTACTCAACAGAGACCCACACACAGACATGCAATCAGACATCCATACACACAGATGCACAGAGATGCTCACAGATGCACACAGACACAGAGACACACAGGGAATATGGTGGTACCCAACTAGCCAAATGAAAAAAATCTTGGTAACTGAAATAAATTCTTTTGGTAACTGAAAAATTTAAAAACCACTGCAACTTGCTCTCCTCTTTCTCCCTAACAATCTCTAGAGGTCTGTGCCCCTGCAAAAGCCTCATTTCTAGTCCTGCCCTCTCTACCATCGCTTCTTCCTCCTAGTTCAGAATACTTGCAGAATGCTGCCAGAACCCACCATGTTAACAGTTGTGCCCTGGGGCGCAGTGATGGTTCAGGAGCTCAAGACAAGCAACTGGCAAGGCTGCCCCCTCCATCCCCAGCACTTTAGCTCTGCTACATCTGTGCATAGAACCAGACACACCTACCCTGACCCACACCTGGCCCGCCCCAGCATCTCTCCTGATCAGCCAGCAGATGCAATCTCACCTTTGCCAAACTCTTTATTGAACCAAAAATCAACACCAAGCAGACTGCAGAACAAGAATCTCAAACAGCTGGCCCTCCCCTCTTCCTCTGCCCCTCCCTCCGGAACAGCTCAGGATTCTCTCCTGGGGACGGAATCAATGTCTCTCTTCTGGTGGGTAATGAGAGTCAGGTCTCTCCGGGGAAGGTACACTCAGAGCAAGCTCCATCTGTAGGACCCAAAGAGTCGGAAGCCTGGCCAGGGGGCTCTGGAGCTATAGGGGGCTGGCAAAGTAGGCCAAGAATTCCAGGGGCTGCAGGGGATGGGGCAGGGATTGGGGGGAAGAGCCCCTGGCCTGGGGATCTCAACGAGGCTTGGAGCTGGTGGCTCATGGACACCAGGGATTCCAGATGCTGGAGCAGGGCCTGGTGGGGACAGGAGGCCCTGTGGAGGTGCTGGCCGGGGCCAGATGGTGCTGCTGAATAGGGCTGCCAGGACGGGCACCGGGGTGGTTTGGGGGGCCGCTGCCCTCGCCCAGGACTCTGCCAGGTCTCTGGCTCTCCCCACAGTCTCCCCCTGCCTCTGGGGGGCCTCTGCCAAGCACAGAGTCCCCTTGGAGCCAAGCTGCTATCACCCTGGCTCGGCTGCAGAGCGCCCCTTGGGAGAGGGGAGCCCTTTGGGGCCACGCTGGGACTCCTGTCCTCTGGCTGGTAGCATCTCTTCTCCACTTTTCTGTTGAAGGAGACCATCTTTCGAACCTTCCCCCACAAAAGGCCGGACTCTGCTGTGACTGGAAGCCCTGCTTTGGGGAGCAGCACAGCTAGGACCAGGCTTGAGTGAGCGGCTTCCAGGCCTGGGGAAAGAGGGAGTGGAGAGACCAAAGGCCGGGTAGGAGAGAACACACAGTCCCTAGAAGCTGCATTGTGGCTGCAGCAGGTCTATCAATGAGGCCCCAGGGAGAGCTTTCCAGCAGTGAGGGGGGGCCCATGAGATGCTGGGAACAGTAAGGAGGAGGGTGAGCCTGTCTCGGGCACGGGAAAGGACTCACCTGATGGAGGGTAGGGCAACGGATGGTCTAACCTCAAGACTGTATGGATTCAGAGTCTACCACATTGTCCCCAGGACAGGCAGCCCAGAAAGGCCAAGTGCTCTGCTTGGAAATGGGCACAGTCCACCCCTTTACGCCCCACCCCCACCCCAGGTGCTTTGCTGGAGCCACGCCCTGTGCACCAAGGCCAACCTTGGCCTAGGACCGCTGTGGTGAAACATGCCTCCTTCCTGTCGCTTGTTCGTGGGTCCTGCCTCTGTCCCGCTGTGTCTGCCTCCAGTGTGGCCGCCCCCTGAGTCTGCAGCCGAGCCGCCCAGCTGGGAGGCCTGGCCCGGCTCCTGACTGGCTGTGTGACTCCGGACAAGCCACCTGCTTTCCCCCTACCTCAGTTTCCTCATCTGGGAGAAACCAATAGCAGCATTCTGATGGGGTTATTCTGAGGACTCGATGAATTAATATTAGTGAAGCTTTTGGAAAACGGCCCGGCACCCAGTAAGCAATATAGAGCTACTCCTGTCAGCCCACGTGCCCGCCCCCGCTGGCCTGGCCCGGCACTGGGGCACTCACCGGGGCCTCCCAGAGGGCGCAGTCTGGGGGGCAGGGGCTGGAAGGCCGGCAGGGGCAGCAGGACCACGCCCACGTGCTCCAAGGCTGCCAGGCCATGGCGCTGCTTGTTGTTGAGGTAGGAATAGAGCAGCCGGCAGTTCTGGGTGTCCCGAGCCCCGTGTGGGCACAGTCTGGCCACGCAGATGTCCTGCAGTTGCAGGAAAGAGGGTGGCTTTTGGAGCAGCCATCCTTTCCTCCTGCAAACACCCCTGCCCTCATCTAAACCTCTGACAACCCTGTGAGGACGCGTGGCCTCACTTTCCAGAGGAGGAAAGAGAGGGCCTTGCCCAGGGTCACACAGTATCTACGGTTACAGTGGGAACTAGACCCAGACACCCTAAACCAGGCCTCTGCTCCAGAGATGGAGAGAGAGGGGGCACAGGGCTGGGGGTCCCCAGCTAGGAGGAGAGGGGGCACCCAAGGATGGCAGTTACCTTGGCCTCGGCCGGGCAGATGCTGGCCAAAAGGTCCCAGACAGTATTGGAGGGGATGCAGCCTGCTGAACGGATCACCTCCGGCAGGGTCTGGGGGCAGGTAGGATGGCCAGTCAGCTCCTTAGCGTCCCACCCACTTAGGGCACACTCAACACTGGCCACCGCGAAGCCACAGCCTTGGGTGATGAGGATGGACGGGCGGTATACCAGAACCCCGGGAAGGTCAATGGCTGCCCAGGAAGCCCTGACTGCCCCTGCAGGCCTACAGCCTATCTGGGCCAGTCTCCTGCAGCTCCTCAGAAACCCCTTCCTCCTTCCTTGAACCTTCCACCCCCACCCCACAGTTCAGCTGATCATTCGGTCACTCGACAATCCCTCCTAACACCCTCCCCTGGATCAGGGAGGCACCACACTGCTCTCCTGGGGCCTCTTGCATTATGCGTTGGGTTACAGGGAGTCCTTGACCCCTGTGCATCTCCGTAGGAGTGGGGCTGGTGTCTCATTGCCCCATGCCCAGCGCAGGGCCCGGCACAGAGAGGGTACCAAGGCCTTGTTTTAGAATGAGGGAGTAAAAGAATGAATGAATGAAAGCGGTGTGAGCAGCTGCCCAGCCAGCGTGTGAGGGACGCAATCCCGGCGAGCAGGGCTGGAGTACCATGAGGAGCCGACAGCTGTTTCCAGACACCAGCTGGGCCTTGGCCCTGAACCGCTTGATGGAGAACATGTCCAGAGCTCCCTCCCAGGGCGGCTGGCTGGGCAGGGCCTTTGTGGGTCCAGCAGGCATCTGGAGCCTAGAAAGAGGGACAGAGAGACAGGCCCAGACAGAGCAGGTTATCAGGACATCCCTCAGCATCTCCCTACTTTTCAGAGAAAGTCCTGTGTTCCCAATGTGGGTGCTGGAACACTAGTCTGAGCATGGCCTTGTGAGGGGGGGACCAGCAGGCAGCGATGACTGGTTCCATTGCACAGATGAGGAAACTGGAGACCCACAGAAGAGGCAGGATTTGCCCAAGGCCACAAAGAAAGGAGAGCCCATATTGCATCTGCTGCCCCCCAGGTGGCTGCCCCCACTGACCCTCTCCTAGCCCCAGCCCCACACCTGTCCTGGAGCTGTGGGGGATGCTTCTCCCTAGTTTGGGGCATCTCTGGAGAGGACGCGAGGGTTGGGCTTGGGGCTCTCTGGAAGACACTGTCCCCTATCCTCCTAGTAGCTTTGAAGGAGCCTGGCAGCTCACCCGAGGGCTTCCAATCTACAAAGAATAGAAGCAGAGACCGGTGGACAGGCAGCTACATGGAGCCAGCCTGGGGCTTTAGAGCCAGGCTTTGAACCAGGTTCTTTTCGAGGTGACCTGGGACACCTCGAAAAGCCCACCCTGCCACCTTCTCCCCAGGCCATGAATCCCTGTTGCTGCTGAGCCCCCTGCTCAGCCCCAGCCTGCCCACCACCCCTGCACCCAGCCTGTGTCTCCCCCCAACCCATGCAGATGCAGCAGCTGGGGTCCAGGAAGTGGTGCTCGTGCTGCCCCGTGGTGTCCTCGTCCTGCTCTGTGGTGGCCTTCAACGTGGCAGGCAGGGCCAGTGGGCTGCAGTCCATGGACACCATGGGTCCCTAGGAAGCACAGAAGGAGAGAGCAGTGGGCTGGTAAGGTGCTAGGGAAGTCAGCAGCTCTCCATCACTAGGGAGCCTCAAGGATATGGTTCTATTTTTCCAAATAATGCATTCTTTTATTATACAGGTACTGTGAACGTGTTAGAGAAAATTTGTAAAATACAGAAAATTTGAAAATTACCAAAAAATCACCCCTCGTCCCAGCACTCAGAGACACTTGTTGGCACTCTGGGTATCCTTGTAGCAGTTTTCCGACACATAGGGTGTGGGGGTCCTCTGACTAAAATAGCTGGGGTAAGATATTCCACCCGTAACTCTCATTGCATAACTGCGATCACCGTGTTCTCACTGTGTCACTGAAGGAAGGGGGACTGTTGCGTATGCTTCACCTCCACTGCTGGATGGTGGGGTCATTCCCCGATTTTCACCATTACAAACAGTACTGAGGACATCCTTATGCAGAGAGTATTTTCCTAAACTTTCAACTCTGTCCTTAGGACAAGTTCTCAGAAGCAGATGACAGAATCAGGGAGAATGAGCATTTTTAAGCCTTGATGCTCACTGCCAAATCAGCTTTTCCCCCCTCACAGCAGAAAGAGCTTTAACCACAAAACAAACATGGCTTTAGGAAGATTTTTTTTAAAACATTCGGAAACTTGACTCTGGCCTCATAGACCAGCTGCAGAGTAGCACCAAGGCACACGCTTCAAATCACAGCTCCCCCAGGACCAACTGGTGACCTTGGGCAAAGGGCCTCCGGTTCCTCATGCAGGACACTGGCCTCACCTCCCTCGTAGGTCACTGTGAGATCTGAACGAGGCACTGTTGTCAAAGGGGCACACAGCTCGTGCTCGATAAGGAGTAAAGATGTTGTTATGTGTTATCGCCCCTCCGCTACTCTGCCATTCTCCACCCCCCCGCCCCGCCCCAGTGAGGACTTCTTTCTGGTCTTCCAGTTCCTCCCTCTACACTTATGTGCAATTTATTCAGGGAACACAGACTGGTTTCGGCTGGGGACTCCTTTCCACACAGGCAGCAGTTCTGGTGCGTGGCCTGGACACCGGCTTGGGGGGCGGGGGGAGCAGGGATTTTTGTCTGTCATGTTCACTGTCATTTACCGAGCGCACATGGCTCAAGGGGTCCATCTGCGCTGTCCATCCCCGACACAGAGCTGATTAGAGGCGGGTGAGCATCTGACCCACAGAACACCCAAGCCAAGCCCGAACAGCCTCCCGGGAGTGACTGAAAGAAGCCAAGGGGGAGTTCGGATTGTCGGCGGGAGGCTGAGCGGATGATGAGTTCATTGATTTGAGGGCTGCGGAGCTGCCATGGCAGGACATGTGCAAGATGGAGGGGCGACGGGGAGGAAGGAGCAGGATGGACGTGACGACGGAGCAGATCTCCGGCGATGAGAGGGGACTGTAGCAATGCCCTGGGCTCTGGGTGGTTCTGTGCCCCTAGCACCCCGAAGTCCCGCCACCAAAGAGAGTAGGTCTCTGTTCCTCACATCCCAAAACGGTCGCTGATTCAGTGTGGCCCTTCTGCTTCCCAGCCAGAGATCTGGCGGGAATGTCTGGGGCTGGGGAAAACTGCGGTGATAAGACTTATTCCCACTCCATGGCGTTAGGCCCGAAGGAGGGGACCAGCACCGAGGTGGTGAGGACAGGCCAGTCCCAGGGGTTCAAGTCCTGCCCCACGTTCGCCTGGACCCCTGCGGCAATGACCATCCCCTTGTTCACAGTGAAGACCTTGGCACTCACAGTAGTCCGGTGACTTGCTCAAGGCCACCCAGCTGCTGAGGTGAGGAGTGGGACCCTGGCCACAAGGCTTCCCCCCCCACCCCCGGCGTCGTCAGGTCAGGCTGCCCCTTACCACCATATCCTCCAAGGTCAGTGTCTGGTCCACGTCCCGCAGGATCTCGACCTCACCCTTGTGGGTCAGTTTGAAGGCTGGGAGGCTGCACGGCTCCTTCTGTTGCTGCTCAATGATCTCCAGGCCCTGGAGGGGCCAAGCAGCCCAAACTCAGCCAGGTCAGGGGCTCCCAGGCCACCACGAGCCCGAGCATTCCCTCTCTTCCCCGGAGGCCCCTCTCCCGTGGTCCCCCTCTGTGCCAACCCCTCCCCTCCCTTCATACTTCGGCTTCCACCGTTCCTGCGCCTAACACGCCCTCCCCCCTCAGCTCTACGGCTCCACAGTCCACTCATTCGCCCTCCAAACTCAAGCCCTGCCTCCTCCAGCAAGCCTTCTTGAACTTCATCTTCTCCCACAAGTCAGTTCTGCCTCTGCCTGTGCCCCAGCCTCTGTTCTGGGAAGAATACAGCGTAGCCGAAAGAGTGTGCAGGCTCGGAGGCACCACCTGGGTCGTGACTAGAGACCCCCAGGGTAGTGTGGCCTTGGACAAGCACTTCACCGCTCTAAGCCTCGGTGTATTTGTTTTCTAGGAATCAAATTAAGGGCATTAAATTAAACAGCAAATGTAGAATGCTTGGCTGGAGCCTGGCTCACAGTAAATGCTACCTGTCATTCTTATTGTTGATCAACGTCATCCTATCTGAAATGTTTCCTGGAAGCCTGGAGGAGGTCCCATCCTCCCTGGAGAGCTGGCCTCATGGGTGTGGGCTCCCGCGTTGTACCCTGCATGGCCCTTCACAGGGCCCCATGCTTCATGCTGTCGCCATCTTGAAATTCTTAAGAGTTGTTGAGCAAAAGGCCACACATTTTTGTTTGGCACTGCCCCCCACCACAAGTTATGTAGCTGGTCCTGCTCCTGGTCCCCCACAGGTACCTGGACAGAAGCTCAGCCTACAGTGGATAGAGTCACCTAGTGGATTCTAGGTGAATCTAATCAGCCCAGTGTCTTCCAGAACAGGGGCCGCAGAACCCCACCCCATCCCACTGGCCTACTCCGAGATCAGCCCCCTCTCCCTCAGGGGCCACCAGCAAGCATTCCCCAAAGCCCGCTCAGTGCCCACATCTTCCCTGTCCCTGAGCCGTCCCCAGGAAGGGAGAGACCCATGGACACAGGGTGTATGGGGACGTGACTGTGAAGCATGAGGGCTGTGGGGTCCCTCCCCCAGCCTGGGGCACCAGGAAGACTTTTCTGGGCCTTCTGAGACTGACATGGGAACAGGGGCACCCCAGGGGATCTACCCCCATCAATGGTGGATGACAATCCTAGACTCCAGACCCCAGACCATCACACCCAGTACCCCAGCCCCCGCCCACAGCCTAGCTCCACAGCAAAGCAAGTGGAAGGTGATACTTCTCGGAGGTCACCTTTCTACCAAGTTCTCCATCCCCAGTCGCTTTCCCCCCTATTTTTGCCTCTTTTCCATTTTTTTGTGGAGAGAGTCTCTCTCTCTCCCTCCCTGTCTTCCTGCTCTTTCTTTCCATTTCCTCCTTTCTCTGTCTTGTGCTCCCCGAATTTCACTGTCCCCCCCCGCCTCACTCTGCTCTGTCTCTCCTGCACACTCGGGCCCTCCCCTCCCCATATCCCTCCCACATCACCTATCCTGACTTGACCCAACAGCTCACCCTTTTTTCCTCCTGGTCCCGCCAGCGGGCCAGCTCTTGGGGGGCCAGCTGGGTGGAGTTCATCCGCACCAGGTCGTGGGGGGTGACATCTCCCTGAACCACTTTGAGAAACAGGTCCTGCAGGGGCAGGCATGGGGGCTGCACCACACTGCTCCAGAAGCTCCCCCCTCAACATCCTGCCAGGGCTCCGAGCCCCCAAGGGAGGGTCTGGGCTAGCCCCCAAGCCCCACTCACCGGATTCCGGGGGTCACGCAGGTTGAACAGCAGGCTGCGGTACTTGGTCTTGTAGCGACAGCTGGTGGCTTGTATCAGGTCGAAGAGGGCTGTCTCAATACCAACAGCGATGCCCTCCACCGCCTCCTCACTCAGCACCAGATCTGGGAGCTCCTGCAGGCTGCGGGGCAACAGTGGAGTCATAGGTCTGAGCCCACGAGGTGATCTAGGCACCGGCCGGACAGGCAAAGTATGGGGCAGAGTCCGGACCAACTGCGTTTCTATTCTGGGCATCTTCCTATGTATACATATTCATTCTCACCCCAACTCTGTGAGGAGACAGTATTCTCATTCTCCATTTGTAGATGGGGTGAGCGAGGCTCAGAGAACATAAGGGGCTTGCCCAGGGCCGCGTGATGGGTGGCAAAGCAAGATCTGACTGCTCAGCCCATGCTTTATCTTTGGTCCGTGGAACTGGGATGGAGGAAGCCTGGGGGGAAGGGGAAGGCATCAGGCAGGCAGGGGATAGAGCCCTGGCCCTGAATGTAACACGGACTCTGCCACCAGCTTGCTGTGTGGCCTTTGCCAAGTCCTACCCTCTCTGGGTCTTGGTCTCACCATTGTAAACGAGAGCTCTGGGCTCAGAGCTCTCAGATGCTCCCAGGAGAGTCTCACTGTGTCTGAAAGCATTTGCTGTGGGTAACGACCATGAGGACATGAGCAGCAGCAATGGCTTAATGGGACGGCATGACCTTGAAGCCAGGGAGACCCAGGTTCAAATGTCAGCTCTCCACCAGCTCGCTGTGCAGGCAGATGACCTCACAGCTACAAAATGGGGTTAGTCATACATTCAGAAGCCCTGAGGACATGGCAGCATGGGCCTGGGAGGTGTGGACAGCTCTCAGGATGTCACAGGTGTCAGGGAAGTGGGGAGGGAGGCCTTACCGACTCCACAGCACCTCCTGCATGGCACGGACCACCGTACCCCGTACCCCGATATCCAGGGATAGCTTCTCCTGTTGGGGCTGAAGCTGAGCTGTAGGGGGAGAGAGAGAGAGAGGGAGAGAGAGAGAGAGAGAGTCACAAACTCCCATGGGATGCCAAAGAGCAAGGGGTGAGAGAGACTCAATGCTGATGGGTTTAGGCAGGCAAAGGGTGGGTCCAACCTCAGGGACCAGAGATGTCTAGGATCCAATCCCAGGCAGCCAGCAGCCCCCCTCTCTCTGGGGAAGGACTGAGGCCGGTAGGGGGGCGGGGATCAGAGGTGAGAGAGGAGACTCCTAGCAGGGACTGGGGCCAGAAGCTGGGCATGAGGCCCTGCTAGTCCTCAGCACCCCCTGGAAGACAAGCAGCTGCTGAGGGGGCACCCTCCCTGGCCCCTCACCTGAGTCCTCTCCCCCGTCTTGTTCACCAGCCTCCTCCTCTTTAGCCTCCACTGGGCCGCACTGCAGGGAAGGGGAGAGGAAATGAGGCCATGACTCTGGGAGCAGGCTCCTGGCCCCAGGGGGCACTGCTCCCCCCATCAGCTCCCCATGCTCCAGCGGGCAGCGGGGAGGAGGCACTCACCCCGGGACACTCAGCACAGGCCTCACGAAGAGGAGCCCCCTCCTGCAAGAGAAAGAGGATATGGAGAGGGTGGGTTTCGCTGAGGGGAAAGGAATGACTCCTCGGAAGGCAGAAGAAGTCAGAGGCCACCAGGGGCCCATGCTGTCCCTCCTGAGGACCTTAGGACAGCAGGACATGCTGGTCAGCCAGGAACAAAGGTCAGCGACTGCTCCCTCTCCAAATGCACCGGAGGCTCAGCCCCTCCCTTGCTCTGGTCAAGCTCCTGAATTCAGGAGTGTTGGACAAAGAGCACACAGACCCCACTAGGCAGACAAGTGGGGGCCTAACCCCATCTCTGGCTATTACGTTCGGTGTGACCATGAGCAAGTCCCAGCTGCATGGTGGCAGGGACAGCTCTGGGAGGCAGGTGTGAAAGTGTCTCTCTGCAGGGATGATGTCACACTGTCCATGTAAAGAACCTGATCAGTACCTGGCACCTGGTGGGGCCCTGGGCCCTGGGCCTTTCCTTCCTTCTGGGCCTCTGGACAGGCGATGCTAAGCTGACCTTCATCATGTCCTCCAGAACCTCTAGCTTTGGAGGCTGCAGCTCCCCTGCCTGGCCACGGCGGATGGCCCCCAGGAGGTGGAGCACTGCCCCGGAACCAAGCTGCAGGGGAAGAAAAGCGCTTCAGAACCGAGCGGCCAAGGCCCTTCAGAGCAGCCCTCAGTTCATCTGTATTCGTTCAATGTCTCTCTCCCCCACTGCGCTGTAAGCAACATGCGGACAGAGAGCGTGAATGCCTCGGTCCCACTCTACTCCCAATGCCTAGAACAGGCCTGACGCAAAGTAGCATTCAAGACATGTTTGCGGACTGCAAGGCCTCTGAGCCAGGAGAGGAGCCGGTCTTCATTCTCATCCTCTCATCTTCCCCTCTCACCTCCAGGCCTTTATAAGCATTTCAAGGTGCAAAGTGGTTTTTGGTCTTTTTATGAGCTATAGAATCTATCCTGTTGCCCTTTTTCCTCTGGCTGCCGGGAAGCTCAGGATTAACTCGGAGTCCAACAGTTGTACTTTTCCAGGATTGGCAGAGGGTGAGAATTTGTCATACCAAGATTTCCCCTTCTCTTCCCCCTTTCCTCTTACTTTAGGCTTAAAATACTTATCCCATTTCAAGTATGTTTTGATTCTTTTAGTTTATTGCAAACCACAGGGAACTACTGTGAAAGTAGATGGGTCTGAAATCTAATCTTTGAATGAATTCTCATGAATGGTCAGGTTCCAAAGTTTGGGGAAAACTGGAAGTCTGAGGTTCAGCATCACAGGGGGTGGGGAGTACTACCGTGCTCTGGAGGAGAGAAGGCCAGGGGGAACAGGATTGCCTCTACTGTGGAGGACCCTTCCCATCCCACCAGACCTGAGGAGAGGGAGGAAGAAGAGCAGTAAGAAAAAGCAAAAACCTACGTAACACACGTGCTTCACCCCATGGGGCATTTTCATTTCTTCCTTGGAGAGAAAGGATGCAGAGATTAGGATTCAGAGGACCAGTGACCCCGCTGGAGGGAGTTCACAAGAAGACACTCACACAAAGGTGAACGATGTTCAGTGCTCACAGGATTGGCGGAAAAAACCCACAAAAAATAAATGTGTACCCTCCAATGACCATCAAAGGGGGAATGGTTAATAAACCATCACATATCATACTGTGGATTCTAACTGGTCACTAAATAGAGTGAGTCATAATAAAAACTATCATTCATCCGAGGCTTACAAAGTAGCTGCCCCTGAAGGAAACACATCACACATGATCTTATTATGGTCTCAGATGAACACCATGAGGTATGTACTATTTCTACCCCCATTTTACAGATGAGGAAAACTGAGGGTCAGAGAGGATCTGAAAAGTCCCACAGCTACTAAGCAGCAGAGCTATGATTAGAGCCTACTTCTACCTGACTCAAGCCCAGGCGCCGAACTGCGGGCTATGTGGACAACGCTGACAGATGTGGAAAGATTCATGGAAAGATGTCAGGGTGTATTATTTGAAGGAAAAAAAAAAATAGGTTACAGAGCAGGATCTGTTGCATAAGCCCATTTATGTAAATACATATTTATAGACGTATAATGAAGGTTATCTCTGGGGAATGAAATTCCAGAGGGACTTTCAGTTTCTGCTTGTAGACACTTGGGTATTTATGATATTCAAAATGAGCATGTATTTCTTTTATAATCAGAAACATATTTTTTAAATTAAAAAACAAGTTTAGAACAATGTGTGTAGTGTGCTACCATTTGCGCTAAAAGAGAAAGAATTTTTAAATTTGTATTTGCTTGAATCTGCATGAAATATCTCTGGAAGTATCCATAAACCTAAAAACAGAGGCTGCCAGGAGGAAAGGGAAAGGGAGCTGGAAAGGAGGCTTTTCACTTTTTTTTAAACCATGGGGATGAATCAGCCTTTCAAAAAAGTAAATTGAGGAAAAGGGGGAGGGGGAGAAAAACGGGACAGCTGGGAAGAAAGCAGGAAAGATATTAAGAATAGCCCTCCGTGGCTTAAAACTTTCTGACCGGCCCGTCTTGGGATCTGTCCATCAGCGTTATGAGGCTTCAAGACAACAGGCAGCCAGATCTGACCAGAAAAGACTTTATTTATTTATTTATCTTTAAAGATTTTATTTATTTATTTGACAGAGAGAGAGACAGACAGAGAG